TAGAAAAGGAAGTAATAACTTGTACATACATAACTATGATATGACTTATTATTGCACTTGTGAGCTGCCTCACAAGTGCAATAATAAGTCACAAGGATTTAAAATCTGCAGCATTGCAACTTTTGGCTTCTTTGGCAGTCACTTTGTACGGAATATTGGGTTAAGCTATAGACGTCCAGTACTCGCGTACGGTTTTGGGAGGGGGAGGGTGGAGGGGAGGGGATCATGGGAAGCCTCCTACTCTTCCCCCGTTGCGGAAATGTATAGTTTATGAGTGATAATTTTTTGTAAAATTATAACCTCACTTTTTATACAGGAATATTGACGCAAAGTTACTTCTGCAATGACTTCAGCACTGCGGGAAGTGCAGCCCCGGTCCGCTGTAGCAAATCTCTGCTCGCCTCTGCAGCTTCGGCTTATTGGTCGCTTTCAGCGACCAACCTCAGCCACTACAGCTCACGTAGGTGCCTGTGATTTGCTACGCAAGAGCGAAGGGGCTGCTCTCCCTCCATGCCTAAGGCTTTACAAAAACACTCTAGGGGTAGGGCAGACAAGACTATGTGGAGTCGGGGTGTGCTAATTCGGTTTTAGAACCGATTCGATCAATCTTATCCATAAAGTCTGCTTGCCCTAAACTCTGCTATGATAATGGTAAATAATGTGAATTGTTATAATTTTGTTTTCTGAAAAACCTATTCTCTCTTTGTATATGACTAAATTTGTTGTAATTAATTCAAAAGGCATTTCCAAAATCCAAAAACAGTGTAAATGGTTCAAGCTTAACCCTTAAAATCCTCCTAAATTGAAAGCAAAATTAAAAAATCAAGTACGGGATATCTACTTCATAATACGAGAACAAATTGACATATTTGCATTTCGTTATTACACAATTTTTAGTGAAATTTGTTTTTATCATACTTAATTCAAAACACATTTCCGACATCTAAAAACAGTGTAATAGGTTCAAGCTTAACCCTAACAAGCCTGCTAGACTAAAAAAATTATCAAAATCAAGTACCGAATGTCTATAGCCAACCCGAATATTGCATTTAATATGTGAGTGACGGCAGTATAAGTGTTAAAAATAAACTCAATAATATCTACCCCACATTTAAATTTGCAAAATAAGCCACAAATAACTGGCTACTCCTAACCCAAAAGGAATATTTATGTCTATACCTTTATAAAAACTGTCTAATAGTATAATGGTTGCATTATGTTTTAAATATTGCGTAATATTAAGTTGAAATATTTTGTGTCACAATTTCAATGGCTAACTAGAAGATCATCATGAATTGCAACTTTGTATGGTACTTATTGGTTTACTTCATATCCATGAGGAATTGAATATTAATAAAATATTTTGGGTATGTTTAAAAGTAAGCATGAGAACAACAAGATCAACTCAGTAGTTCCCACAAGATGTATTTAGTAGTTAGGTTATGAGATAATTAACAATTCAAGGCCAGACACATACGATTTCCACAAGCTACTTACGACTCGACAAGGTGCGCCGTGCTAGTACCAATAATATATCTGTTTTCCAGGATCTATAGGATTTTGTAATACGCAGAAAATTGCTGAGTATTGTCATATTGACGTATATGACATTTACACGCAACCGTAATCTGCAAGGACCTCTAGTAAAGGTTTCTATCAAACGTCAACTATAAATTGCAATATTCAAAATGAAAACTGTGATAATCACCGGAGCTAACCGTGGCCTTGGTCTTGGAATGGTCAAATATCTTATTAACGAAAAAAGGACTGAAAAGATTTTCGCTACTTGTCGGAATGCTTCTGAGGTAAGTATGTAAAACTTAACAACTCACCTATCGGAGCCATTATTAATTATAATACAATCACAGAATTAAATATCACCGATACAGTTTTCAGATGTCTGTAGGTACAACTACTACTTTAGCGCTTGTAAAAATGCAAACGCTTCTGCTCGCAACTCGCATCAACGAGGAATATAAAGGCTTTATTTCAGAAACTAATAGAGAGTGCGAAAGAGATAGCTTGACTAGTGGGCTCTTTAACTCTTTATGAATGGCACTATGGCATTTCTAATTCTATCGTACTAGTGACAACTGAGCTGACGTCATTTGAGTATGACTCATATTTGTTTTTAAGATTTTTTGGCTTGGATACTTGTTCTTTCATCCATATTTCATTTGGGGTCTTCGTTTTCATAGATTTTTTGCTTAAAAACTTCTTCACAATATGTTTATGCATCAAAATGTGAAGTATTTGGGAGATTTTGATGGCAGCTTGAGCCAACAGGCGGTGGATGGCGACAGTATCTCAAAATGCCTAAGCAGATACATCGTCTTGTGGTTCACATAGGAGCACTTGTTTCATCGTCCCCACTAATAGTTCACATGCGTAGACATTTAATTCACAAAATTTTATCACTTTTACGTATCAAAATCTGCAGCAATCCGTCGGCGGCCAAATTCCCGCCAAAACTTTTGTAGACTCATAGACTAAATCCGAAAAATAGAGTTTATAATAAACTTAAGATCGATTTTCTAAAAAACACTCGGCTATATTAGAATAAATATGTGAGTTATCAGAGCTAAAGGATCACGTAAATTGATTCGAAGGATATAAGTTGGTAGATTGGGAGAGGATGAAGTCTTTTATATTCTACCCATAGTAGCGGTTTTGTTCTAGCCGAACGATCTCAAAATTTTTGTCGGTTCTATCACTGATGTAGTACTTAAAAGAATGGAAGTAATTTAAGTCCCTCTAGTGAAATTGCATCACGCTTTTCGAAGCAAAAGTGCTACTTGGCTTGGGCTGACACATCGACGTCCCGGAATGCAAACACTAGTGCTCTTTCAAAAGGTCCAAATTCCGTCTCTAGCTCCTTAAAAAATTGTGAGCCATCGCGGGACGTCTAGCAGATGTGAAACATCGAAATTATTTTGTACTGATAATATGCATAAAAAGATAGTTTACGACAGGAAATAAATATGGCTTATTGAAAAATAAAATATTAATAATTTTTTCAAGAAAAATATGATTGTTTATTTAATAAACATTTATATTCGTTAAATACAACAATAAAAAATTCAATTTTTTTTAAATTGATAGAACTCAGTTCCTTTAATCCTATCATATATCGTGGTGACGCATTCCTTGGCGACAATTGTCGACAGTTGATCTAACTCGCCGCTATAGATGTTTCACATCAATAAATATAGTAAAGGCAAAGTATGAGCATATCGACAGTATTGACGAACGACTATTTTGCCTTTCTGTGGGAACCCGTGTATTTCGGTCTCTTTCTCTATTCCATCTCTGCATGGTGAGGACTACTCATTGATCTATACCGCAAAGTTTCATTTTTGCGATCTTTTAGGCTCTTTCTTAGCATCTAACTCTTCTCTCTCTCTATAGCAGGGGAAACAGCGTACTCTGAAAGGAAGGTGCGTACTCTGAAGACGACACCGGTTCTAATGCCTCTTTTCTGTTACTCCCTAGGCGTAGTCCTAAACTCAATGAAGACAACTTTAGTGTACCCGATCTCTAAGCTGGCGACTGCTCGTATCCGTCTAACTACATACCTCATATGTATACCTTGTGCTCCGAAACAACGGAGTTCATTATAAAATGCCAGTTCATGAGGCAAAGACTATTAGCTGATTAATGACACGATTTCCGTTGGGGTTGCTAAGCTGGTGATTTTCTAGTTTACCTGACTCATAGATAGAGAGAGGCTTTGGCGGTTAGATTGGACATAGCCACAAAGTTCACGATATCATCAACACGTTCTGGATGTTTGGTTATCCAGATTTTTTATCATACTGAAGTGACTAACGAACTAACAGTTACCTAAGCATCGAAGGAGTTCTACCACCGACTAAAAATTTTATTAGTAGCTTTCTCCCCCAACTTCTTTGTGGAACTGGCTACCACCGGCGATTTTTCCAGACAGATACGACCACATACTAAGAAAATACTACGGATATGACTTAGGGGTCTTCAAGAAACAAGCTTACTGCTTTTTAATAGCCGGCAACGCAACTTTGATTACCCTGGTTTTGTAGTTGTTCAAATTTTTGTTTTGCACAAGAGAGCCAAAATAGCATTTTATAACCTGAGTCCGAAGGAGTCTCTTAATAAAACTGATAAAGATGTTAACTATGATTTCTCAAAATATTTACAAAAATTTAATTTATGTACAAAAAAAACAAAAGTAATTGTAACTGATTGACGTATAATATCCTGTAAACACTAAAAACAAGCACAACCCAGTTATACCAGTTACATGACTCCAAAGTTTCAGTAATTCCTTCATGGGGCAATGTATACGCTTTAAAAACAAAGTCCTAGAAAATATGCAGGCTCTATCCAAAAACTTAAAATTTTTATTAAGAAAAATATTAAAGGTTATGCTACTAAAGCAGTTTTACAAGTTTACCGTCTGAAAAAAATATAGGGTATAAAAGGTGAACGGAATAGAAGCTGTTATTTTACAATTTTTTTGTTATTTCATATTAACATAGAATGAAATTGATCTGTCAATAAATACTACTCATTTGAAATAAACTTTCGGAACTAAAAAATAACAACAAAATTTTTTGAACTAAATAAATAAATCAATTAAAAACTATCGAAATTACAAAAATTAATACATACCCAATTAGTAGTATTTACTGATAGATCAATTTCATAATAATATGTACGATGTTAATGTAAAATAAAAATTGTAAAGTATTAGTGAAGTTTTCCAGACGGTAATAAACCTGGAAATGAGGTAGTGGCTATCATGCTGTTTGTAAATGTTTTCATATTTAATTGTATTATAATTAAAGTTACATAACATATCAAATTGTCAATTAATGTTTAAAAACAGCCCAAACATGTTTCGCTGCATCTTTGTTCTATAATCACAAGTTTATAAAATGTATTGGTGATCAAATTTAATAATATTTATTTATTTGTAGGAACTCACAAAGTTATCCGAAGAACATAAAAATCTCCACGTCTTGCACTTAGGTAAAAGATTATATATATATATATATATATATATATATATATATATATAACATATTTTGAATTTTTTAACTCACATATATATATCGACTTGCAATTTAGAAAGTTCTTATTGTTTTTTGTCAGATGTAAAAAAAACTGATAGTTTTGGTGATTTTTCAACAAAGGTTAGTAAATTACTAATAAACGACGGCCTTAATCTTCTTGTGAATAATGCGGGGGTGACAACCAAATTTACAAAACTTAATCTCGTTAAGGAAGAACAGTTGATGGAGAATTTTATGGTTAATACTGTCGCACCGATCATGCTCACCAAGGTAAGTGTTAAGGTAACTGAGCATTTACTTAGGTGTAAATATTTGGCTTGAAATTTTTGAAACACAATTGAATCAAAGTAATAAGGCCAAAATAAAAATAAAATTCTAATATTTGTTACAACTGGTCTTAAGAAAGCAATTACGATTAATTATATAAACAAATGTGTTCGTTTCGCTCGATACATTTTTAGCTGTAATTAAGCAGGCGGAATGGCACGGCATTCTGTGTACTATATATATATCTTGCATGACTGTCAGGCCTTGATTGTTAGCCTCAGAGATTTTGGGAACAATCTCAACACAACACAACACAACCTAGCTCAAAATAAATTCCGGGCAAATCCGAGTTTTTATTTTATTTTATAGACTATGGGTGACAAACGAGCACACAGTCCACCTGATTGTAAGTGAATGCTGTGGCCCATAGACATCTACATTTATCCTTGATTCAGAATCAAAACTCGGATGTACGTTGTCACTCCTGAGGACTAAGATGAAATGCTTCGCTTCCAGTTAAAAAGGGTCTCTGGATCTCTACACTATACGAAATAGTGCTATTTTATACTGGTATTCTGTGAGAGCGTGGTACTTCCCCGATTGTGCCGAACCATTCGTGCTACAACCATAATATAGCTACAACATGGCTCTAACACTAAAGTTACGTCAGCTTTTAGTGCATTTATCTCATTCTATTTATTAGCGGAACATCAAGATTTCAAATGAAAATGGTAATTTACTAGTTTATTTATTCCTTTATTGCAAACACCTATAACTAGGGGTAAAATGAAGCAGACATAATGCCCTATGGCATTCTCTGCTAGTCAACCCTCATAATAAGATACTAAATAATTTTATAGGTTGGTATTTTTTTCTAATAACTACACTAACTTTCTAACAAAACTCCCTACAAATAACTACAAGTCTTACCCAACAAACAACTAAAATACAATAAAAACTACTGAACTCTCTACTGTCGTTTGGAGATCGTGTATTTTAAAAAAAGATGAAAAGTTTGCTAAACATGACGTAATGTATCAACTGTTATAAAACAGTTTCATTGTTATTTTAGACTCTTCTGCCACTTTTAAAACAAGCAGCCGATATAAACAGAGACAAACCTATTGGAGTATACCGGGCTGCTGTTGTAAACGTAAGTTCGGTGCTTGGCTCGATTGCACAGAATGATCAAGGCGGATTTTATCCATATAGATGCTCAAAAGTAAGATTTATTCATTACAAGTTATCTGTTTTAGATTTGTACTTAATTATCTGTATGTATCAAGTGTTACCCTGTATTTTGTGAAAATAAAAATTGTGGTATAGATTACTTTTCGTAATTTATCAGGCTTGTGTACAAAATTGATTGTAATATTCAAATATTTTCAGGCAGCATTAAATGCAGCAACAAAATCTATGAGCCTCGATCTAAAAAAAAGAACAAATTCTTGTCACTTGTGTACATCCCGGCTGGGTAAGGACGGATATGGGAGGTAAAAACGCACCGCTAGATATCGATACTAGTATTAATGGTATTTTTAACACTCTTTGCAAACTCGGTGAAGCTGACAGCGGAAAATTTTTGCAATATGATGGAAACGAACTGCCCTGGTAAGAGCGATTCATCATCAATCACATATAAATTTAAGAACTAACTGTTAATAAAATAAATGTGAATGGTATATTTGTATTTTATTTAAAAACTCTTCGTTTTTCGTTGGGATCTTTATAAAGGTGTTTTTTTTTTTCATTCGTAAAGAAGTAGTTGGCTCACGAGCCAGAACGGGTACAAACCAGCCCTCGTCGGCTGACGGTGGTTCGACGGATCCCAAAAAATAAGTTTTGGCACGCTCTGATCACGAATCTGCGGTCCTTTTTTGCATAGGATGCGCGGTTCTGGAGATGTGCAGATCGATTAACTAATATGTGATTAATATCCAGTGGACCTGCGCCCTCATTAGCGTTTCCATTGTGTGTTCAACCTTTGCTCTTATCTATTGTTCATTGAACACCGTCATTATCGCTCTTATCTATTACTCGTTGTACACCCTGCTTAATCAGTGCTATTGATTAGAACATGATTCTATTGGTTTTAAAAATGCTTCAAAATCAGCATAAACTACGAATGGTATCTTTAACTTTTTTTATAACTATCAAATTTAATTTTATCATTTGGAATAGGTTGATCAAACATTCTTTTTTTGAAGTTTCCTGTTTGGTAATTCTGTACAAATGTGGACACAATCGTATTGTTTAATCAGTGCTATTGTATTAACTTCCTTTTTCGTAACTACAACGCTATTCTGAATCACCAATAAAACACATTCCTTAATTTTGTTACAGTTTTTATTTCCAAAATTTTATTATCAACCTATTCCAAATGATAAAATTTAATGTGATAGTTATAAAAAAAGTTAAAGATACCATTCGTAGTTTATGCTGATTTTGAAGCATTTTTAAAACCAATAGAATCATGTTCTAACGATCCATCCAAACCTTTCACACATAATATTCAGAAACATGAAGTACATAGTTTTGCTTATTATATAAAATGTTCATATGATGATAAATTATCAAAATATGTAACATATTGCGAACCCAACTGTGCACAAGTGTTCATGGAAAGTAGCGTTTGGGAATTCCCGACAATTTCGGTCCTGGGACACGAGACAGCCAACAATCAAAATCCAGGGAGTTCCCAGGACTTCGACTTTTAACAAAAAAAAATTTTATATTTTTTAAAGAGGTTTGCCTTTTTTGAAGAATTTTAATTGAGTTTATTTCTGGTGAAACGTATTATAAAAGGAATTTTTTAATGTAGTAATATTTAGAAATAATAGTGATTTCACGCTACCGACATCCGCTTGGTATGTACCCGTTTTTTGTTATCAAAATACAATAAAGTCTTTTTGTAATGAAGTAAAATCTGACTTTTGTTTAGACCACAGCATAGAGAATTTTGTATAGATTTTATAATGCCAAACTTCTTAATAGAAAAGTAGTCTCTAAATATAAGTTTTATTGATTTAAAGTGCTGTGGGTAGTTGCGGTCGCATGCGACCGCTCGGGATATGACGGACGGTTAAACAGAAAAATTGTGTGGTGGCTAGTGTGCAAATATTTTAACAATCATACAACTCGTTGCGGTCTTCTCTTTTCTAGGCAAGCTTTCAACGTTTCGAAGAATCGCTTCGCCAAATCATTATTAGTCGTTTATCGTAAATTTTTTTGCGCAACACGTCAATTATTGCTTCAGCTGTAAGTACCTAATTAAGCTTTTTGTCAGCCTAAGGCTTATACAGCTATCTTGACTGACTGCAACAATTGACTGCAAAGAAGAAGATTGTCTTTATTACACTTGTCCAACATGTTTAAGTCAATCAAAACTTTCTTCACGCATTTTTTGGGCTTCAGAAACCGTTCCGCCATCACAATGATAGAATTCCACCTCCTTTTAACATACAGTATTAAACAGAGTTCAAATCATAATCCAAGCGTCACATAACTACCAATATGGCCGCACCATGGCCGCGTGACAAACGCATTTATTGTGTTGTGTACTCAGTAGGTTACGTAGCAGACCAAGTAATAATTCATGAAACTAAAAGATGGCGCCAGGCTCCTTCTATTATTTGAAAATAAAAATGATTACATAACAATTTCGACAATCTTGTCTCGAGTCTCGACCTGAAAGTCCCGAGTCTCGAGACAACTAAAATTACTAAAAGCCCTGGGACTTCGAGACACGAGACGTCCGACCCCGACCCAAACCCTAATGGAAAGTTTATCTAACAATTTAAAGAAATAAATAGACTTCAAAAATATCCAGTTTCGCTTACAAATTAAGACAAAAACAATATGACAAATGGTTGCACCATTTGTCATATTTGTGAAACAGAGTTAACAGAACTTTTTTATGATTTTTATTGGTACACTGGTAGTTTTATAGGTGTTGCTCATGAATCATGTAACTCGAAGTTCAGAACACGGCGTCATATACCAATATGATTACACAACCTTAGTCACTATGATGCTTATTTTATTGTTCATGCATTAAACTTTTGTGATGGTGAAGTCAAAGTTATCCCTCGGTAAAGAAAAATATATATCCTTTTCTAAAAACTTAAAAATGAGTAACCATTAAGACATATTGAGATTTTTAGATTCATTTAAGTTTTATCATGTACTTAAATTAGAAGAATTAGCCAAAAATCTCAATAATGATCAATTTCAAGAATTACGTAGAAATTACCCTAATGATGAACATTTCATTCTTTTAAAACGGAAAGGGGTCTATCCATATGAATTTATGACTAATTATGATAGTGTAAACCTCGCTGAACAAAAAAAAATTAAGTATATAGCTCGCTCACAGATTGCCATATTTCAAATAATGTTTTCAATCATGCTAAAGATGTTTGGTAACACTATGAATGTTGTAATATGCTAGATTATTCAAACTTGTGTTGTTTATTCAAACAGACGTTGTAGCTTTTATCAGGTTTTTTCTGACGTATTTGAAAACTTTAGAAAGCTATGTATTAATACTTATGGTTTAGACCCTGTCCATTATTACACAGCTCGCGGTTTAAGTTGGAATGCAATGCTAAAATCTACAAAACTCGTAGAATTAGAACTTTTAACAGATTATGAAAAAGTCGCAAAAAGTAATATTGTTGATTTAATAAATGATTCACTAAGACCCTTAAAAAGAAGTGATCCGATAGGGTGGGATAGATTTGCGAAAGCATTAAAAGATATTAAAGTACCACTTACTTATATTGGAAATCCATAGAGATGTGAGTTTATTAACCAGCTTCAAGCAAAAGATCTGAACAAACCCCCCGTGATTGAAGTTCAAGACTTTTCTACACTGAGCAGTAGAGATACAAAATCTATAACTACAATACGGAAAAAGCTTGATTTGGAAAAATGAACCCCGTTCTAGAAGAAATTAACAGAAATTATAATGATCCATCTAATCCATAAAATCGCTGTGTTAATAATATCCACTACCCCATATCTTCTCGTGGGTGTCTTAAAAGGCGACAGAGGGAGACAGGCAGATGTGCAGCAGCGTCTTCTTGATAGCAGCAACTGTATAACAAAAAAAAACTGCGGTTGCCGACCCGCTCGCCAAGCGTGGCAACTATGGCAATATACCCCCCATGATGAGAGTAACGACGAAACGGTCCCCAGGCCCGGGCGGCCCCGCTATTCCTAGCTACAATGGCGACCATGGTAACGGCGGGGCAGGGGGTGCTAAGAATATCTGGTGGAGGATCGGTTAACACCTAAGATGACTTGACCTGGCAACATATAACGCACGCAACCTGAGGACTGACGAGTAGATCCTGGAGCTGAAAAAAGAGATAGACAAGTTGCGCTGGAATTTTATAGGATTATTCGAGGTCCGAAGAGAGGGGGAGGACACGGTGAGAGTCCCAGAGGCGTTGGATTTATCGTCCACAAGTCGTTAACAACGTTGTTAAGATTGGGAGTGTGTCGACGAGCGTTGCGTACCTTATACTCAGAATCACCAAACGGTATTCGATGAAGGTCATACAGGTTTACGCACCAACGTCGGCACATCCCGATGGAGGAAATGTATGAGGATATTTCTAGAGCCTTACATTCCTCCAAAACTCACTATACGATGTTAATGGGAGACTTCAACGCAAAACTAGGCACAAGAAAGAACGGTGAGCTGAAGGTAGGGAAATTTGGGATAGGGCAACGGAACCCAAGGGGCCAGCAGCTGGCTGACTTCATGGAGAAAGAGGGACTCTTTATGATGAACTCTTTCTTCCAGAAGCGGCTCCATAGAAAGTGGACCTGGTCGAGCCCCGACGGCTTGACGGAGTTGACGGCGACGGCAACCGTTCAGTGATGCCTCAGTGATCGCAAGGGTGAAAACTGGCAGCGATCACCGAATGGTTAGAGGCACACTGAACCTTAACGTTAAGTTGGACAGCATACGTGCAACTGAACAGACAGATCTCCAGATGCGGTAGGACTTACGCAACTTTAATACTACTCGTATTGAAGAAACGTTCGAGCGGAACCAGGGTTCCAAAGTCTTTGCTAGAGATCCGTCTGCCAGAAAGAGCCAACTGTCAAAGCTGAAGAGTGAGTGTGGCAGCATCGTTTCCGGGACACCTGAGATTTTGAGTAAGACTGAGAGGTTCTATGGGCAGCTGTATACACCATCATTGGAGCCATAAGCAAGTGTTAGTAGCGATCCAAGAGCAAGTCTTATCCGACACTATTCCAATGATATCCAGGACGTCAGTCCGAGCGAGATTAGAATGGCTCTCCAGCATCTAATAAACGGCAGAGCCCCAGGCGAGGATGGAATTACAGCTAAGCTTCTGAAAGCGGGTGGAACACCAGTATTTAAAGTCCTTCAAAAGCTCTTCAATTCCGTCATTCATGGTGGCACTACTCCGTAGGCGTGGAGCAGAAGTGCGGTAGTCTTGTTCTTCAAGAAAGGCGAC